AAGATGCGAGCTGGAGGCTGATCCTGCGTGACATGTATTATTCGGAAGTTTCATCTGTTCGTTCATGTTAACATATTTTCCGGCGTATAAGACGACTCCCTGACTTTTCCAGTTAAAATACAGATTTTTTAAGGAGGCAAGGGGCACAACAGGAGCTCGGAACCATAGTATAATTAACGATCCCTAAACTACACTCGGCGTATAAGACGACCCCCCAGTTAGGAGCAGAAATTTATGGTGTGAAAATTCGTCTTATACGCCGGAAAATACGGTACTTATTGAGGCCGTTTTTATTCCAATCTCCTGAAGACATTTAAGTTAGTGCTAATCCAGTTTTGGGTTGCACTTAGGCCTTATTCTCAGAGAGTGAAGGTATGGATAAGCTCTTTAGGTTCATTCTATGAATGGCATCCACGGTTTTTGTTTTGTATTTACTTTCCCAATGTTGTGATTCGACGGAGCTTACTCCATTCTCAATATACTTGTGCTGTATCAAGGCTGCTGAAATCTCTCGAATGCTTCTCCCTAAGATGTCTTTAATGTATGCCCTCAAACCCCGTATATGGGATCGTAATGATAAAAATCCTTACCTCAATAGCTACATTTTTATATTGATCGACTTAGATTTCAGATGCTGGCAATCTTGCAAATGAGATATTAAACCTCTTCAAGATTAATGAATACGCTTCGGATCCCTTTCATCAGTTGTGTCCTAAGACGAGGCATATTTCTCTTCTCTGGTGCTACATTTTGATTAGGTGGTCAACCGGGCTCTGCATAGTCACTTCTATTTGAAAAAAATTATTTACCTGGCATAAGAAATTATGACTGATTTCTTTCATTTCTGCCTAATATTGAGCCCTTTGGCATTGGTATTATTCAAGATGATAACACTTGCCCAACACAAATTGTGTATCAGGGTGCTATTTTATAAGAGCTATGCCGGATTGGTGACTAAGACGAGTGGGAGGGAAGAATAGCTTTTAAATGTAGCTAGAGTGTGGACCGTAGTTTCATTTTTGACTAAAATATGTACAGCCAGGACAAATTGAATGACAAACTGGTTGGATTGCTACTTTCGGAAGAATTATATATATGTCGATAATAGATGAGAAATATTTTCCTTATTAATCAGTTTCGTCATCCGATAAAAGATTTATTGATCTCTTATTTTCTTTACAGGATGACCTATTCGTCCGCGACCTTGCCCAAAAAGAGGACCTATTGAAACAGCTTCTTATGCTTTTATTACTCGATATAGAGTGCTCAGAAAGCTCACTTGGGCCTCTGGCATCCACTGCAGTCAACGCTGTATCCGACACTGTGACAAATTTCATTACGACTCGAGGTAGTGACGAAAATAACTCTATTCTCTGTAGTGATTCCATACTCTGGGGCTCTCTTGAGCAGGATGCTTTTCGCAAATGTCGATCTTCGGGGCACAGTGCTCCATGTCTTATTCAGTCATGTCAGCCGCATCAACCCGTTATAAAAGCTCAATCTCACGTTGATCTTAATTCTTTCAAAGCCAGCTTTAAAGATTGCATTGCTTCGAAGTCAGAACATTCAGCCGATGCATTTCTACATGATTTCGCAAATGCACTAGTCCCTGGCTCATTGGTTTCGGAGCCCCTAAGGACTGGAGCCTCAGATAT